CCAGCGCGCGCGCGCAGGCGCGACCAGGGTTCAGTGCCTGGGTCTGGTCAGTGTCCGAGCTGGCGGCTGAGGAGAGGAGTGTCCGGAACCGCTCGGTGAGCCTCCAGAAGTGGGGTTTGTGGGAGCTAGCTGGGCGGGGAGGAGGGGGGCGGGAATTTGAGGTGATATCCCGAGGTGAAAGGATGTACTGTGTCGGTTGGAGAGTGTGTGGGGTCGGGCTTGAGGGGAGCGGGGCGGAGGGGGGGCGGGCGCTCCAGCCCAGACTCCCCGAGTTGGGCCCGGAAGGAGGACGCCGGGCGCTGTAGACTATGAAGGGCCCAGGGGAGACGAGGGGACCAGATGGGAGGCCCGGCGGAGGCTGGACGACCAGATGGGGGGGCCCGGCGGAAAGTAGGGGGGGCAGATGAGGGTCCTGGCGGAGACTATAGGGGGTCCAGATGGAGGGGCTGGCGGAGACTGGGGGTCCAGATGGGGCCCCGGCGGAAAGTGGGGGTTCCAGATGGGGAGCCCAGTGGAGACTTGGGGGTTCCAGATGGAGGCCCCAAGCGGAAAGTGGGGGGCAGATGAGGGGCCCTGCGGAGACTGGGCGGGCCAGATGGGGGTCGGAAATTGGGGAGCCAGATGGGGTCTCTGGAGGGGCCAGTGGAGACGGGGGAGACTTGGGGGACTCTAGAAGAAGGGCCAGCGGAGACAGGGGGCGACATAAGGGCGGGCGGGTGTGGGGGAGAACTGGGCTCTTCCTGAAAACCAAGCAAAAAATCACCTCTTAGTAACGTAACTTCCAAGCTTTCCAGCGTTTGCTAGTTAAGATTAATAAGATTGACCAGTGATTCCAATGATCAGATAGAGAATAGTTCTGGGATAATTGGAGGAGGAGGAGGAGGACTCCGAGGTTCATGCCACCTTGCTGTCTAGGAAAGTCCAGCCAGCCTTTGCTGCTTTCCCCTCTGGCCACACAAAGAAATGGATCAGTTGAGCTGGGCTCAGGCCTGTCATCCTAGCTCCTCAGGAGGCTGAGACCTCAGGTGATCGCAGTTCAAAGCCAGCCCGGGCATGAAAGTCCATGAGACGCTTATCTCCAGTTAACCACCAGAAGACCAGA